GGGGGGGGGGTGGAGTTGCCTGGACACGGGTGCCTTGGGCCGCGGCGGCCGGATCTCGGGCCGCGAGCTGGCTACACAACCGAGCGGGGGCCTCTCTTCGACGATCGCCGGCTTTTCCGGCGTGGCCCTCGCCCCCTCAGCAGGCTACTGCGTTGGTGCAGGCTGCTGGGTTCGGCTTCTCGGGCGATCGAGCGTTAGCCCAGCGCCAGCAACCAGGCAGTTGCCGACTCCCGATTAGAATGCCAGCAGGTCGGCCATATGGCTTCCTGCGTATACACCCACCTGGCATCCGGCCTCTGTGAGATTACCGTGCGCGGATTCAGAGAGACAGAGAGAAAGGCAGAGAGAGAGACTGTGACGAGAGGACTCGGGGTGCAGGCCATCTCACGGGGGGGAGGGCGGGGGAAAAGGGGCGACTATCCCCCCCCCCCCCCCCTTCTGTCCCTCCTTCGAGGAGCAACGAGCAGCAATTGACCCGGCGCGCCAGCCGGTATTCCTTATTTCCCGAAAACCGGGGCCCTCCCCGTCTGGGGGGCTGAGCCGACAAACAAAAACCCTCACGCAGCGGGGGATCAGGACACTCCCGCCTGGTATGCTCGTCGGGGAGGGGGGGGGGGGGGGGGGGGGGGAGCCGGAACAAACGCCCTCCGGGCCAGCGTGTGAGCGCGGGAGCCGGAGACGCGGGGGCCCGGCGGCCTCTGCGCGGACAGGTGCCTCTCGATATACACGCCCGCCATGTGCACCGCGCGCAGGCAGCTGATGCGGGCCGGGGAGAGCGCAGGGGGCTGGGAGGGATTCAGGTTCTTGAGAGCGCGTCAATTGGCACTTGTGCTCTGGCCCCCTAACGCTTTTCTCCCGGACAGCCGGCCGGACAACCAGCCGGCGCGGAGGGCGGTTCCTTTTCAGTCGCTCAGGTTGACGAAAAGTGCGAATACCTATTCTCCAGGAATATTTGACCGTCTGAGTGGCGAAGGGAAATCTCCCCGCCGGGGGGCTGCAAGAAGCCCGCCGTAGAAGCAAAGGAAGGCCCCGCTTGGCTGGTCCTCACGTTTCGTTACCCTTTGCCGCTCGCGTGAGCCCCGAGTGTGGATCTCCCCCCCGCCCGCCAGAGGGGCTGCGGAAGGCCCAGAGAAGGGACCAGGCCAGCATGCATGCCCCCCTCCCCCTCCAGCGGGTCTCGTGAAGGGAGGAAAATCCCTCTTTCACAGGGCGGCTCGAAGAAGCCGCAGCCCGGGCACCCTCCCCGGCATTGTCCCAGTGCACACCAATAAGACCTTCTCTTTACTGCCACCCCCCCGGGGGGGGGGGGGGGGCCGGGGGCGCAGCCTTGGGCCCGGATAGTTTCTTTGGGGTTCTCCCCCGGCGCGTGCTCTCCTCCGGGTCCGGGGGGGAGGGGGGGCGGGGAGAAGGGACGGGATGGGCGATCCGGGGAGTTCGCCAGGCCCAGGCCGCGAACGGGGCCGCGAGATCCGCCCCATCCCCCAGAAAGCGGCATTCCCCAGCGCGGCCTTGAGCCTTGGAGCGGGGCGGAGGGCTGGTGCTTGAGCGGCCCCGGTACACAGTCCTTCTGTCCGGGAAACCGAGTGTCGGAATAATCCATGCCTGACCGATTG